CCTTTAAGTTTTCCCACCAATATGACCAATTTGCGAAAACAAGGTCAAACAATTTCTATACAACGAAAGGACACTACGACCATACAAAAGGGCATGAATAAAAACTGAATTTCGAATAATTCCTTGAAATATTGTGACATGACTCTCCATTTCGAAGGTAAAGTTGGTTGGAAGCAATTCGTGATGTTGTCTGACCGGAAGCCGAAGGAAGATGGCCGCATATGGAAGACTGTTGCATTGTGCGAAGAAGTTCTCGGTTCACCGTCCTGGGACTTTGATGAAACTGTGCTAAGCTTTCGTCTGTGCTGTGACAGACATCATCAGAGCAAAATTCCATACTTCATGAAATAGAACAAAAATATACTAAAACAAGAGAAAAGGTGTCCGGCTGCAACCCTCAAAATACGAAGCCAGCACCTAATATGCAAAACCTTAATCAAGCGCAGGCCATCCGATATAACTGAAGCAAAACAGAAATAAAGGAGAGTACTCTTAAGCGATAGAGGCAGATAATAAGATTGAGGCAACAGCTCTCTAGATCCGTTTTTGAGCAGGTTTTCGAGACTACCAGGGCACTTAGCCAAGGGCACACGTGGCAATGTGACGTAGTGGTTAAAGTGTCGAGATTACACGTTGCATTGTCATGATTCGAATCCTGCTGGGTGTGCTGATAAAATGAGGACGAGGTGAGGTGGAAATTGCAGTCTCCCTGGATGAGAACACCTTTTGGAAAAGCAAGGTTATGTGAAATTCAGTGGAAATGTCAGCTCCACTTAAATCATATTCGGAAAAATCATCTACCTGCCCTTCATCACCTTAAGCGAAATAGAGTGAACACAACTCATATATCATATTTACTGTTAGTCTCGAAAACTTACTCACTTACGAAAAAAGTAATATCGTCGATTTCTATAGCAAATATAATTTTGCTTCATCGACAATCACAAGACAGAATATGATATGGAAAAATGCCTGCCATTCCCTGAAATTCATATCTGACCTGTGACCTAAGGGCACTCGTGGCTGTACGGCGTAGTGGTTAACATGTCGAGCTTACACTCGGCACTGTCATGGTTCGACTACCGCTTGGGGTGTTGATAAGACCTGTGCGATATCGAAACTGCCGTCCACTCTGAATGAGAACACCTTTTGGGAAAGCAAGGTTATGTGGAATTTATGGGAAACGTTAGCTCTAATC